AAAAAGACAGTTGGTTGAATGCATCAACAATATTTATACTCTTCTACGAAAATAATAATTTAATTCTATAATTTCAAAGATTTATTTAACTTTATATAATAAAAAACGATAATTACAGAATTTGTACCCCAATGGATCATCTAGCCAGTTAACATAATAATAGTAGAAATCCATACTTCAAGAACGAAAGCATTGTGCAAAATTAATTGTTATTTTCCTATAATTTCCAGAAGCGAGAGAGGTCTCCCGGGAAAAGAATGGACCGACTTCGGCGGAGTTTTCGTGATAGCTTTCGGCGGCGGAAAGATCCCCATGTACCAGAATCGAGTAAACCTCATCAATGGCAATCAGACGAGACGGCTGTTCGCTCAGCCACGTGCGCTTTCCATGTTAAGGTATAATAACTTCATCGCTACATAGAATTTAATTCAAACTAGATTATAAAAATTCTTTCAGGAAATCCCTGCTTATTTTATGCGTTAACTTCATTTTCACCCCGTAGGGATTGACTTTTTTCATTAATGGATGTTTACATCATAAGAGGAACATATCCTTCTTTTATACATATGAGGTCATATATACATGTATACTTAATTANATAAAATCCGCTATCTGATATATTTTATATAAATTAGCACATTACATGCACAACCATGACATAATAGCCTATAAATGAGTATTACATCCATTGTCATAGCATATAAAATATTTAACTACCCCATAAATTGATTAAATAGGAACAAGTAATATTGATGGAAATTCGTTCGATGTAGCTGCAGTTATAATAATGCAGCTACATCAAACAGATTAAAGAACGAATAAAAATAACATTATTGTACATTAAAACGATGTCATATGATTTTGATAAAAATAAGTGTTCAATCAATTTCGTATAAAACCTGCACAATAAAGGTACAAATTTTATGATGTAGTAAACAAATGAATAATTCCAAAATTAACAGAATTTAAACATTATGTCCAGCAATTACTAGGCTCGAGCCTAGGCATGAGCCATTAAAGATAAAATAGCGTGCTCATAGTTCAGTTTATAAGCCAAAGTAATCCCCTTTAAGCATGATTTACAATTGGACACGGGTCGGGCACAAAATTTAAAGTGGTAAATCGCGTCGGCAACGTGTGGCACGATATGGTATGGCACGGTGTTTCATCGGGGCAGAGTTGAATCGCGTCCACACTGAACCGCGACTAACGCGTAGCAATGGAACGTCTGTTACATTGTTCTGCAAGTATGTACCTAGTAACCATGCATCGCAACGCGTACCTGTGTCTGCCTACGTCGCGATACACGCGGCAACACCTGTCTCGGTGAAAGGATCGGGCACTCATGTAGCGAATATTTGTCGTTGCCAGACTCGCTGCCATTTCAGGTAGCGTCGAACCGTCCCCTCTTGTTTTCTACCACGATTCAACCCCGCCGGATTCGTCCATCCCATTCAGACGTCGCGTCGCTTTAACAGCGAAACTTGTATCACTACTCTTTATGCCTCCATATTTCCCTTTTTCGCGAGCTTCAACCGGAATAATTATTTACATTAGTGGAATGCTGCTGTTTTGCATTGTATCGTGAACAGTTAATGCTGAGGCTGCTTTATTATTCATTGTTTAATTTAAGATGTAACTGAAAATCTTTGAAGAAATACAAAATATTTGATTCTTCAATGATCATTATTTGAACAGTATAATGCAAACAAAGAAAATAAGAACATGGGGAAAATTCAATGGAAAAGAATGTGAATGGAAGGATTACATGCATCCTACATAGCTTAGGACAACTTGTATTACTTTTTTGTAGGAAATTGTATGTAATAGGAATAAAATAATATAAATATGTAAAATGAATTGTAAATACTAATTTATCGCAAAGGATCAACTAAGTGACTAAACATATGAGGCTATTCATGTAGAAGCCAGGATGCTTGTTAAATTTTTAAGAACANCTGCACTCACGTAGATATTTGTCGACGACAATGTCGCTGATGTTCGAAATAGTTGGAACAGAGCTACGTAACATTTAATGCCTCGTCCCATCCATAACCAGAGAAATAGTTGTGCTAATTACTATTGAACGCGTCCTTTAAGCAGAAGCGAACAATGCCTGATTATAAAGGACCCGTGTTTTCCCAACGTAAATGTAATTAGCTTAATTAACGGCGAGCTGTGGGAAACGCTTTTTGCCGGAGAGCCTGTAAAGCAAAACATTGATCATACCAGTTTCGCTTCTGTATAAATATTTTACAGGAGTTAAATATGAAGGACGAGACGAACGATAATAACGTTGTTAATTTAATGGAGGAAAAGTGGAAGAGTTCTACTCAGAATTTCATCGTCTTTGACATCCTCAGAGAAACTTCATCTATTACGAGGCATTTTATATAAATCTAACTACCTCAAGAATTATAAAAACATTACCAATAAAAGTTTATGTAGAACCTTAAGAAAATAGTAATACATTAATTACATTTTACCAATTCTTCTAATAATACTTTTTATTATTTATTTAACATTATAAAATTATTTTATGCAACAGTAAAAAAGCTACATTTTTATAATGCGATTGCTCATCGCTATTCGCGAGGTAGTTTAAAAAATGTCCTATACATATTCTTGATAGCCTGAGTTATAGTATATGTGGTGGGAGTATCGTCGGCTGAATTCAGTGTCTCTCTTGCCATGGAAGGGTCGTCGAACCGATAGGGCTGTATGAACGTACAGCGGCTTTCACCGGCGTCTTTGTAGGTCACGATACTTCTCTAGGGGCTCGGCCAGTTAGAAGATCCATATGTTTCGATTGGTACGTAGATTGGCCCGAAACCAAGGATCATGTACATACATACATACATACATACATACATACATACATACATACATTACATAGATGTATATATTCGGTAGCATGAGAAACGTTCTACCGAACGGTCATTCAGATTCTTTTTAGAATGTCCCGTTTTTACTATGCGTCCGAGATTATATGTCAGGGACAACTGTGGTCGTGCCACAGAACGTTTCAGATACTCGCCGTGACTCTTTCCGTCAGAAAGTGGCACGATCGGAACGATACCTCAAGAATGAGTTGCTGCCGCGAGCTGTTTTTGTGTTGAATAAATGCTCAGAACATGTTAAAGTCTTTAAATAATCTGGATTCGTTTTCTCTTATTCTTCCATTTAAATCAATTTATTCCTTTTCTGGAATTCATTTCACTTAGAGAATACGAGAATTATGTTCATTATATTGGACATAAAATAAAATGCGTAAAATGCATGATTAAAAACTGCTACAAGTGAGTTTGATAACATTTTAACGAGAAGTTTTAAGATTTTTCGTGTTTGCACGTTCAAGCAAACTCGGGTGTGTGAGCGTAATGATAATTACTGAATTCGACCTTGAGGCGTGAAAGGAAAAATATGGCGATGGAGAATGCATCCGCAGTTATTGTGTGCGCATGCTGACGGGTCGTGCATGTCAGAACGTAGACGTAGGTAGTCGATCTGCCGCGTTGTAATTTCCTGCTGTTAGCGAGCACTGTCGTCGTGATGTACGCGGCACTCCCATCCCGAACAACGGGCGATATTAAAATTGCTCTTAGAAATGGAGAACGCTTCGTTAACGGGAGTAATGACGATGTGGGAAAGGGGTATTACGTAAAAAGTTCTCTCAAATGATTCTCTACAATTATATAAAATTGACAAAATGACTGTACAGATTATACACTGTCAGTGAGTCATCAGGTGTAATAAATAATATCGTGATTCAATTTGGAATGACTAATTGTAATTTATATATATATGTACATATATGATATGTATCTGATTACACACTGTCAGTGAATCATCAGGTGTAATAAATAATATCGTGATTCAATTTTATGTACATACATACATTTTTATTAATTTAATATTATATATTTAATTAATTCAGTATCATATACATATATATAATACTAAATTGCAATTACTTTTACCTGCAATATATATATATTAAAGGCTAATAAAGCAACTTAGTATTTTTTATTATAAAAAATTGTATTATTGTTGTTCATATTTGTGGTTATTTTTAATGATATTTTAAGTATTTACTAGAATCTACTATTTATCATAATTCTAAATATTAGAACAACTAGACTTGTGTATAATTGACGATTATTACAGCACATTATCTGGGAACTACTTGCAGTAATTTTATGTACTTTCTATCTAATGTTTTTATGTAACTTAATTTACTGTGTATCAGTCATGAAATTCCGATGAGGGAAAGCAAACTAATTTGAATAAAATAGCTTCACCGATGCATCCGCTAGTTACGCATACGGATCACTGAGAACTCGCTTCATTTATTGTATGAGAGTTGATATATATAGTAATAGGTTTCCCTCATTAGTATTGCAATAAACTATAAATATAAGCCTCAGACGTGTCAAATTTCCTTGTAATTCTTGTTATATTATTAATTATAAATACGAACGTTATTAATTAAATATTAAGGCATTTGTCTTCTTTCTCGTAGTTAGGAAACGTTAATTGCAGAATTCATATTACAATTTTCACCTATTGATATTTTATTTCTATAAATTATAAAAAACTCTTTTACATCTTACCTCGTTGCAGTTGATTTTTATAATGACTCAGTCATTTATAAACTGTCGAGGACTGTCGTATGCTCGGTTTAATCCCAGATTTTTTTTCATGAGAAAATTATGACAGCAAGAGTACATATTTCATTATGGAATAATGATGCTTGACCTATAATCAAAGAGCAAGACGAAAATAGTTATGCATCCGAATGCAATTATACGACGGCTTTAGAGAAATTATAGGTCTTAAGGATCCATATTGTTTCCTTAAAATGTAATTTCATTCAATATCAAAGGATTACAGGCAACTCTTTTTTATACGCCTTCGAATAAGAACAGATTATTTACTATCACCACAATTTCGTTACGTTGTACTGCAGACAGTCTAATAAAGGCATCACCTTGGAGAAATTTATACGATTATACATGTATCTTAATAATAAAACGAGACAAGACATGTCTTGAAAAAATGTCAGAATTACTGAGACGGTTAGTCATTGGCAGACTCATAGGTAGAGTTGGGGGAAAAGAAAGTGGAAGCCTTTTCGAAGACACTCAGCGCGTCAGCCGATCTCCTTTAATGAATCACTGAGATTCTTTGCATGTGCCTGTTTCTTCTTACTCTATTAGTCATCGTTATTCGATTTCTTTATTTCGTTGTGGTTTCATTAAACTTTCTTTTTACTAAAAGTATACAGGAAACATACGAAATAGCTTTTGTACATTAATATCGGTCTTGCTATTGAATGAATATTTACACCTTTCGTTATCTATCTTCTGATTACTCAAATCACGTTTTATAAATT